GATAAATTTTATCATAGAAATCTATTTTTTCAAGGGCAGAGGGAGTATAAAACCTGATCAGTGGAAGCAAGATAGTTCAATTATTTCTTTCTCTCATTCTCGTTCTTACAACTTCAAACAACAACGACAGCGGACACGCCAGCTGTACCAACGAAGAAACAACAATGATAGCCGAGGGATAATTGATCGAGCCCAAACACCTATAGGCAAGTTGGGCATGGTGGTACCTGTAGAGTTGTATACTAATCAAACAACAATGACAGCCGAGAGATAAAGGAGCCCAAATGCAACGCCTATGGGCAAGTTGGGACTGGACCCCGCAGTGTCGACACAGACTCGTTGACGTTCTTCATTCTTCATAACTACTCCAATGAGTACTTGCCACGTTATTGGGGTTCCTTATTCGTGGACGGGAGACACCCTGACCCCGCCTCGCTACAAGGCAAAGAAGAAACCACCATAAGTGAACTCCAAGAAAGAAAAAGAAAGAAAAGAGAAAAAAGATATTGGTTTTTATATTCCTATATACATATACTCCCTGCGTTTCAATTTATAAGTTGTTTTAGCTTTTTTTAGATATATAAGTTTTACGACATATTTATACATACATAATGTATATCCAGTTGCATAGCAAAAATCGAAAAGACAGAATGACTCACAATTTAGAAGTGTGGAAATGATACTATTTGGTCTCACTAGGATCCGGTTTGCTATTGGAATTCGGATGTATTATTGGATACAGATCTTGAAAAATTGAAGGTTGGAATCCACTATTCCAAGCTTATAAGGCTATTCTCAGTGCATTATGTTTTACTGTTTCAAATGTTATTATGAAACCTACGATACGACTCACCCAATACATAGTATCATGGTATTATTTCTTAGGAGCGTCTAAACAATTAATTATTATGTATCATTTATCTATGACAATGGGTCCAAGGATTGTGCTCGGGTTTCTAACTTTGGATGTACCCAAGCTTACTCTAATCCCCTATTTCCAAGTTGCTAAAAAATCATATTTTAATATTTATTGCATATACCATTAGTCAAGTTACAAGATCATGGTTTAATTGAGCACTAGCAAAGCTACCCAATGCATATCCCGTAGGTGACAAGGTATAAATTCAATTCTAAGGAATCCGTATCAAGGTGACACATGCAACATGAATTTAATGAATTAAAGTGAATAGAAAACAAGGATGATCCCATACTATACTTGTCTTGAGCAAAGTACTCCTGCTGGTCCTGCACATCAAAGTAGTACCCTTGATCTCCCATGAATTGCTCACCGTCTATACTTGTTAATCACAGCAACATACAAGCATCCGGGAGCAATCATGCATACCAAACAAAAGCTATAGATTATAACAGTACACCAACAGCATGAAATCAAGATGAAAAGTTTGGAAAACGAATCTACGTCTCACTACGAACACACAGACGCGAAGATCACAAAAATCGGAGCTAAAACGAAGAAGTTATGAATTAAACAAGATTTTTTATAGTAAAATAATAGATCAAATCTAACCTCGAATTTTAAAAGTTGAAAACATGTCCAACAGTAGTATGAACATGTAGATTACTTAATTATGAACTTAACGCAACTTGAATGAATCAAATCGGAGTTAAAACGGAAAAGTTATGACCTAAACAAATCTAGTAGCAAAACTGTAAATAGCTGAAAACGTATTTTTAATCTAACCGAAACAAAGTACGCTTTTAAAAGAAGAAAACGGAATTGGGAAAGACATTTTGGACTGCGGGTTAAGTCTCAAGTACTTATAAGGGCTCTTTTGCAAAATTCTAAAACGAAGGCGTATCCTTCATCCTGGACCGCCGGATTAGATTTGAATGGCTGAGATTGGTTCGAGCGGAAGAGAGAGAGGGAGCCTGGCCGGAACAGGGCCGGCGGCGAGGTAACTGCGGCGGCGCCATGGAAGAGCTCGTGGCGACGTTGGTTAAGAGGCTACGGTGCTCGGTTCTTCGAACGGAAAAGTCCAGGAGATTGAGGAGAGAGTGGGGAACTCACTGGAGAAGAAAAGAACGAACAGGAAGCGACGACGGCTGCGCGGCGCTCGACGAAATAGCGGTGTCACTCCAAGCTTGCGGCGGCGCTAGGGTTGACCGACTCGGCTCGAGCAGGGGTGAATTCTTGCTGCGAGAAGGGATAGGGAGGCGGAGCGGGATCGACCGGCTATTTATGAGGCGGGGATTTCTTGAGAGGCACGGCGCGGGGCTCGTGGCGGAGGCGGGCACAGACGGCATCGGCGACAGTGTCCGACTGGGACACGACGCGAGGAAGAGGATAACCCTGACCGGTGGTCTAGGGCGGTCAGCGGGCCGGAGAGGACACGCGGGCGCGGTTGGGCTGGCGGCGAAGATGGGCCAGCGCTGCTGCTGGGCCGCTGCGGGAAAGGAGGCGTGGGGCGCAGTGCGACCTGGGCTAGGCGCTTGGCTGGGCCGCGCGAAGGAGCGGGCCACGGGCAGAAGCAGGCCAACCAGGCCGGAAGGAAAGGGAGAAAGGGAAATTCGTTTTCCTTTTCCAATTTTTTTTCCAAAGCAATTTTAAAATCAATTTTGAATGCAAATTCAATTCAACTTGGAATCTGATTTCAAATCAAGCAATACAAAAAGATATGCAGCAGCATTGATGCACACATATGATTGTGAACCTACATTTGATTTTAATTTATTAAAATTATTATTTTCATAAATTCAAATACCCACAAAACTACATAATTAATCATTTTCTCCTATTTCAAAGTTATGTAAATTTTAGGGTGTTATAGCTGTAAATCGAGGATCATACACTTCTATCTCTCTATCTTCATTAAATCCATGCTAAGCCAAAAAAAAAATCCTAGGAGGCAGCATCTAGACCGTGTTAATTAGTGTGATGGTCGGGGCTGGTCTTTGCAAAATTCGCGAACTATCCTTCATATGGATCTTGTTGGTACGCGGGGACGTGCTTGAAGACCGACTTTCTATATTTGGATAAAATTACGCTGGTCACCTGGTACTGGCACACCACCTCACAAAATCACTGTTCACGTCCTGCCAGAACAGTATTTTCCTCTCACAACAATCAGCCGAAATAATATTTTTCAGTCCTGCCGAACAGGCCCCTAGTTAATTAGTATGTTACTCCTGTATAGAAAAGGATACGATTCTCGTTTTCCAAGAAATCAAATGCTTCTAAATTTGATCAAAGTTATATGAAAAACTAGTAACATTTATGATGCAAGTTAAGTACTATCAATTAGATTAACTATGAAACATATTTTTTTAATAAACTGATTTAGAGATATAAATGTGAATACTATTTACTATAAGCTTGATCAAACTAACCATTTCAATAGGCACGAATATTATAGTTACATTCTTTGATAGACAAAGGTAGTACTATCCAACGAGGCAAACACACCTTTCTAGCCTCACTTTCGTAGGGCACTGTGGAACTGGAAGTCAATCTTAATTAAAAACTAGATAAAAGGATATCCATTGACTCGGTTCTAGTCTCGTACTCTCATGGGATATGCTCTAGACCCGGTTTAACCAAATATATACAAGAAAATATTAATATTTATGATACATAATTAGTATTATTAGATAAATCGTTAAATATATTTTTATAATAAAAACTTATTTAGAGGTATAAATATTTTACTAATATTTTCTACAGATATAGTTAAATTTAAGAAAAAAATTTGACCAGCGCAAATACCGATGCTTAAAAAGGAATAGAGGGAGTATAGGATAAAAGGAGGTGACATCCGCGCAGGCTATTTTATGGGGTTACGGATGTGTGCATGTTTACCAAATGAACGAAAGACATGACGTGAGCCAGTGCTGCACTGGTAAGACACTCCGGCTTTCTCCTTTTGAATCGCTTTTTCCTGACACTAAAACAAAAAGTACTCTCTCTATTTTAGAAATTGACTAGGCATGTTCTCCAACACTACAATTATATTTTACATGTAATTTCTACTAAAAATGTTGATATCAAAACTATAACCATAGAAAGTAAGGCATTAAAATATGAATGTAATGTTATCTTTTCTTGTTTAATAGAGTTTATAACACTGTTAATAGAAGAAATTATTGAAATTGAATCTTGAATTGCGTGCCACCATGTAAAAGATATGTAGAGAGTATTTGTACTCGGTTCTCTAAAAATTTTCAGTTGGTTTTTAAACTTCAAGTGATCTTTTAATATAGTACTCCCTCCATAAAAAAACATTAATGTAATGCTAGGTTTAAGACTAGTCAAACTTTCAAAAGTTTATGATATTTTGTAGAAAATATCAATATTTATATCTCCAAATAGATAAACTATGAAAATATATTTCATAATTAATCTGATAGTACTCCCTATGTCCCAAAATAAGTGTTGTTCTCGCTTTCCGAGGATATCATTAGATAGATCGTTAAATCTATTTTCATATATTGGTTGCTTAATTAGAACCAGCAATTTGCATTCCTACTGCAAACCCGTTGACCAAAATTTATATTGGTTGCTTATTCATATATACTTTTTTAAACCATTGGCCACTTGTAAGGAAAATATACTGGAAAACGTTATTAGTCTATCTGTACTGCCCTCCTGCAAACCCGATGACCAAAATTTATATTGGAGTCCTGCCTCACAGTGGATTTGGAACTAGGAATGTTTGCTTGGATAAATAAAGAATAATTATTGTATTTTTTCACTACTCCTTACTTTTTGTTTTGTTATGTGGAATGGAATGATCGAGTTGATCCACACCACGGTCTTTTCTCATAAATGAATAATTAATATAAGCAAAAGAAAGAGTCATTCTATAAAATTTGAGAGGACACATGATGCACAGTGGTGTGGTTACTTGAACCAAACGCCCTCTAGGTATGGAGACCACAAATTAGCAAACATGTATTTAAATAAACCATAACGATAACAAAAATAAACCATAAATTAGCAAACATGCAGATAGCTAAATTTATTTTTATGTATCTTGGCATGTTTAATATTGCAAATTATGCTCCAATGTAATATGGTTGAGTTTGAACTTGCCTTCACCACGGTGATTTCCCGCCGATCGTCGTTCCTCAGGGTCTTGTTGCTTTTCAACTGGCTTCTTGAATACTTTTTTTCCTCGAAATTTTACGAATTAACATCCAATAAGTAAACATTGATAAAAGAAATTCAAACAGAATTTTAGAAACTGATGAAATCAAACAATTATTAGTACTGATGCATAGACTGTAGGTTTGGAGAAATTTACACATGGATATATTAAAAACAGAGTTGAAGTAGAGAAGAAACAGATCTGGGATTATTTCAGGAAATAAATAAGAGGGTTATTAAAAAAAAGGTGTAGAAGAGGATTATATTCCTCAAAAAGAGCAGATAGATTTTCGGATTTCATGGCTGGAAATAAATAAAATCGACATTTTTTTATAAAAAAAGTTAACACAAGGATAAGGTGAGCTAGCTTACTTCCGGATTTTTCCAGTATCTCTAGAACAACTCCAGGATACTTAAGTTCGAGTTCCTCACACCCTTCAATTGAGATTACATCAGCCCCTGTTTTCGTAGAAGAGAGGATAAATTGGATGCATGCATCTTTCAGTTCCCTGCAATGATAGTCGTCAGCTAGGGCTATGGTGGTTGCCACACTGTGAACAGTTAGTCTGTCGGAAAGGATTCTTCCACAATACAACTTCATCCTCTCCATGCCATATTTGTCGGCAGCCGCCAATAATTTCTTAGCGATTTCCTCATTCCTGTGTTCTTTCAGCCGTGAATCCGTGTAGATGAAGTGAAGCAGCGCCTTGAACGCAGCAGGCTCCATGTCTTCGATAGCAACTGTGCCGGCCTATTCACTGGTTGGTGCTGGTACTAGGTTTGGGCTGGCTGGTGCTGGTTTTTTGTGAGAGAAAAACATTGTTGGCTTGACTGGTTTGGGCTGGCTGAAATCAACAAGCGAACAGGCTGGCTGTTTTGTTGTCCATGGAGCTCAGGCTGAGTAGTTGAAGTGGATCTTAAGGCCGGACACCGCATGTCAATGATGAGCTTGTGGGCACGGAACACCTCACTGGTTTTAACCTTGAACGTGTGATATCCGCATCCTTCCCGGAGGCCAGCAGCTGTCCAAGATCAGATGACAGGGTCGACGGCGGCACTTGAACGTCGACGAGGTAGGAACTGACAGCGGTCTCCCTCAGCTGTGCTTCCTTGATAACAGTGACAACACAGTGGATCTTAAGAGAATCGTTCCAAAGGAACCTACGCAGATCGCTCTTCTTCTTGAATTTGTCAGTTCCGCACGTGGGATTCTCAGCTGTTAACACAGTCGTCGTTGACTTGAAGGCGGCTTGGTCTTCGACGAGGCTAAACTCGTACGCCAGCCTCACCTTGGTGAACACGCTCATGAGCTCCAGTTGTACTCCCACGTAGTCTTTGCACTCTTCCCCGTTGCCGGTTCCATCAGGGTAGTAGCGGATGCGCCAGTCATGGCCACCGACGGTGAACCTGTCAGACAAGATGTATCCTCTATCAAGGTCGGTCTGGTAGCTGTAGTCGAATGTGTGTTCCCCACTCTCCTTCTCCAAGCTGCATATCGACGCTGTTACCCTTGGCGGCCTCAGCTGGGATGCCGCCATTATTTGCCCTCTCCTTCACCTAGCTAGCTTTTCTGTAAAGGTCGTTGTGGATTGGCTCAGAAGATTATCTGGGGGGGTGGGGTGTTGGGGTTGGATTGGCTCAATTGATCCACTCGTTGTTCAACTTCTTCCTCGCTATTTCTTCCAACCGCGTCCTGCCTGCCCGCTCCCCCGCCGCGCGCCGCCCACTACCTTGCTGCGGCGCGGTAGGGTCTCGCCGGAGCTCCGGCGAGATCCTCCCGTGCCCTCTTACCCTCCCCCCCTTCCCCACCGTTTTCTTCTCCAGCTCTGGCGAGAACGGCTGCGACGCCCTCGCCTCGACCTGGCTCGGCCACCTCCACCGCTGCTAGGGCCCCGAAGCCGCCTGGCCGCCGTCCCCATTGCCTGCCCTGCCTACTGCTAGTTAATGCCCAAGAGCAATTCAGTTTTGGCCCACGAACCCAACATGGCCCATGCGGCTGGCCGGTGAACGTGCTTATAAAAGCTAATTACTGGCCAGAGGGTCATTAACCTAGCTAAGAACGCATACACGCTGCTGCCGCCATTGTGCTGCTCCTGTGCCGCATGTAGCAATAACCGGCCAAAGGCAGGGTGTTTTAAACGAGTTCACCTGCAGTCCCGCGGTGCCATCGAGCGCTAGCACCACTGCTGCAGGAGTGGGTTTTAGTCCCGGTCAGAAAATCTCCTTTAGTCCCGGTTTTTCAACCGGGACTGCCAATCCAAGACTTAATCCCGGTCCCCTCAACCGGAGTTGATTTGGGTCTTCAAGTCTCGGTTAGTAATATCAACCGGGAGTAAGGGCAGCTTCAGCTCAGGCCCCAGGCGCTGCCACGTATTATAACCAATCGGGACTGACCGCTTTTTTTTCTTTTCTTTTCTTTTACAGTTTCTTTGCATTGAATATTGTACGCACATATTAAGAGTGAAACTAATTAAGTAAGATATTGTATATTACAATGATCATCCATTCCACAATCAAATTTCGTACAAACCATAATAAATTTAAACCAAGTCATTATACACTACATGTCCAAGTACTCCCCAAAGTTCATGCAAACATAGTATGTCACCACTACTACCTAATGAAGTTGACTTTCTCATATTTTCAATTCGGTGAAGTGTAGGTCACCGATGTGTTATCCAAAAATATCATTGATGAAGACCAACGCATTAACTAGTGCACTCTCCCTTGCTTCACAATTACGAGCACAGGGTCTACTAATGACGTTTAACGGTGCTCGAGAAGTCGGTGGGTCTCCCCTCTTAGTCGCAAGTAGCTTTGCCTGAAATCCTTCCGTAGTGAGTGTTGGCCATTCATGAGCATATTTTCAATCATAACCCAATCGATACATTGTCTGGTTTATAATGGCTTCAAAACTGCACCCTGCGTAGGTTAAGTCATAGTCCTCAACTTGTAAGTGTTGGCAGAAAAAAGGTTATGAGAACCAAGCTTTGCAACATATAACAACAAATCCAGATATAAGCTATGAGTTCGACTTCGACTTTACTACATCATTTCAGTTGTTCCGAGCAATGCTTGCACAAAAGCCCTGAACATCATGACACATGTCTGCACTTATAGCTTGAATCAGCACGGAGGATAGTGTAGGCAGGGTGTACCAAATATTCATAAGCTTAGTTACACATGCAATGACAGCATATTTTTGTGCAACAGTCTGCTGGGTGCCTTTATTCTCATCTCTGAGATTTGTACAACACCTCTACCCCTCCTAGAGGCGATGGAAAAGTCAATTCGACATTGGATTAATGGACCATTATCTACATGAAAGGACTAAACATCCACGGCCTAAACCCCGAAATTTGAGTCTCTTTAAGTCAAATGATTGGGTCAATTACCTACGGTACATTTAAGAATCACATATATATATATATATATATATATCAGAAAATATATTTATATAAGCGTATTTGACACATTAATTTATTGGAAACATATAGAGTTGCTTACTATATTTGGATGATTAAACGGTACATTTGGCAACAATGGATCAAATCCCATCCACTTTACATAGCCGCTGAAACCTACGACTTCCGGCGGAGGGAGACGACGTCCAGCCATCTCTTCTCACTAAAGTCAATATATCAAAAATCATATCACTAGAGACAATATTTTTCATACACGAAAATGCATATCACTAAAGTCATTTTTTTCATAAGTCTACAAATATCAAAATTCACATCACTAAACCCTATATATCAAAATTCAAATCACTGTAGTCAATATTTATCATATACCAAAATGCATAAACACTAAAGTTAATATATCAAAATTCATATATGTATGTCACTGAAGTAAATTCTTTTATAAGTCTATATATATCAAAATTTGCATCAATAAACCCTATGCATCAAAATTCAGCATCTTTCCACACACACACACACACACACACACACACACACATATATATATATATATATATAATATCAAAATATATATCACTAAAGCAAATTTATATCAATATATATATATTTTTTTCATGGTTGAGTGCTTGGTTTCACATAGCAGGAAGGGATGAGATCAATGTGGTTGGCACTGCTCACCTGGTGGCAGCAGCGAGGGCGCGCGAGGTTGAAGACTAAGGCGAGGCTGGAGACGAAGGCACCGCTAGAGATGAGGGCGAGGCCAGAGATGAGGGTGCGGACGACGGCGAGGGCGCGAGCGCGGATGACGGCGAGGGCGAGGGCGTCGGCGCGGACAACGGTGAGGGCGAGGGCACGGGCGCGGACGACGGCGAGGGCGAGGGCGCGTGCCGGAGAGGAGGACGAGGGCATGGAGGCCAGGGATCGAAAAATTGGGAGTTGGGAGGAAGAAGAATATACAGAACAATTATATAGGGGGGCCTTTAGTCCCAGGTTGAACCACCACCTAGGACTAAAAGGACCTTTAGTCCCGGTTTGAACCACAACCCGGGACTAAAGATCTTTCAGACCGGGGTGGTGGCTCAATCCGGAACTAAAGCCAAATTTTGGCACGCGATGAAACTGCTGCTACTCGACAGTTTCATTTTCCGCCCATGGAACAGTTTTCGTTATATCCTTTTATATAAATAGGCTGAAAATTGGAAATTGCGTAGTAAACAAATATAGCTCCAAAAATTGCAATACAAATTTTCTTTCATATACAATTGATAAGTGTTTTGTTTCATGCTATAATTTTTAAAAACATGCTATAAATTATAATTACATTTTTTTACAATGGGAAATGTAGTACTTAGTTGAAATATTATGAATTGTAGTACTTAGCCATAATTATCGTCATCAAGATGATTTCAAATAAAAAAGTTGTCAACTATAATGTTACATAACTTTTCGATATCTACAACTTTCGCTTTGGTCATTTCTCCATTTGATGACATTTTAAAAATTTAAATTTCAAATTTGAGAAATTTAAAAACAGTTTTCCTTGACAAAATGATTGCAAATCAAAAAGTTGTCAACTAAAAATTTGTATAACTTTTTAAGATCTACACCTTTTATTTTGGTTATTTCTCCATCCGATAAAGTTATAGTAAAAATTGTTCAAAATTTACATATCTCTGAAACTATATGAGAGATATGTAAATTTTGAACAATGTTTACTACCACTTTGTCGGATGAAGAAATGATCAAAATAAAAGTTGTAGATTTTGATATGGTCTACAACTTTATGTTTAGGAATTTCCCAGCTGAATTCATTTATTACTTTAAAATGCCGATTGAAGTTGCCATTTTTAGAGAATCAAATTTTGAATTGATAAAACAAATTCACATGAAAAGATAACCAAAATGAAAGCCGTAAGAACACAATAAATTGATAGAGCATGATTTTAGAAAATTTTAGAGAAAAAAATAATCAATTTTGAAGTTAGTATGATGGAGAAAGACTAGTTACAAGTTTTAGCCAGGATTAAATAAAATCAGACTTACAAACCATACAAACATAATTATAACCATAAAAATAAATCTAACTAAACATCACAGTACGAACGAATCAAGTTTATTACATAACCATACAAATAAACTAATTAAACATAAACCTTACAAACCGTACGCAACTCTCTGCCAGTAGTGTATGTCTCGGATTGTGTAACCGTGGTCAGTTTCTATGTAATGCAAGGCCCTCACTAAAGCACTTTCTCTTGCCTCATGACGCCAAACACATGATAGGCCATAGATATAACCTACTGTTGGACTATTGACGGCCGAGTTTTGAGTAAATTTCAGGAAATACTGAATTCCATGTGTGGTACGCTGGCCAAGGTGTTCCACGTAGTCCCAGTCGTACCCCAGTCGCTGAAGAGCTTGCGAAAGAATATTCTACATGCCAGATGCAGCATAGGTAAAATCATGGAGCAAATTCTACAAGCGTAGAAACAAAAATATCAGAGAGCAGTCATATAATCATAACAATAAATAAACATGACTCTGATATCGTACATGACTTAACACATCCATTTGGCTATGTCTCGCCATCCTTTCGCTTACTTGCGGAGTACCCAGATAACACTCACGTAAAGCTTGTATCTTAAAGTACGAAAAATCAGGCATAAGGTAGTCAATTCGCTCTAGTGCCCGTAAACAATGCAGTACGGTATGGAACTGGGCGCCTCTCCAAGTCGGACACTGACGTCCCCTCTGCACGATGTCTTGATGCAGATCTTGATTGTACCTAATAGGGATGTTAAAGGCGATATTACACGTCCACAACTCATCACCTTGGCCATTCACGACCTCACTGGTCGTATGCTCGAAGATGTCCGACACCCCAAGCATAAATAGTGCTGATTCTAGCCACTCAACTGGGGATATAGTCTGTGACATATGCAACAATCATATTATGAATGAATATATATATATATATATATATATATATATATATGCAAGAATCATATTAGCATGCAAAACTTAAAAATATTCCATACCATAGACGAATCTGGGTAACGCAGAACGACCCTATCTAGCGGTGGCGCGAATGGCAGATCACCAGGGTAAAAACCTGG